CTGGCCATTTAAAAAAAGTAATGGGAGGGTTTTTACAAAATCCACTATGGCAACTGCGTCTTACACAAGAATCACCACAACTAATGGGATCCACTCCATACAATATGGAACATTAATATATATGTAAATGAGTTGAGAACACAGGCAGCGGCTTGCGAAGGGCCCTGCCTCCGCCCTCATTCCCGCCGCATCCCCCAGGTCCGTTCGCCTCCGCAGACTCCCAGTCCATGTCTGTGACACAGCCGCCCCGCTGAGATCTTCAGAGGTGTTAACAAGTGCCGTGGCAAGGAAGCACGACACAGGTAGCTTTAATGAGTGAGGAGCTATGGGGAAACTAGACGTTTGTGGAGAAGTTTACAAGAGGTAATAACTATTTACACTGGAGTAAGTGTTTATTAGCCTTAACTAAGTTGAATGTCCTCCATATGTTATAAAATGGATGCCCCCCATCCCCCATTACACCAAAAGAGGCTTGCAGAGATGTGAAGGGCGGTTCCAGTCGCAGTCCATGTGGCACCCCAGGAAAACTTCACTGCTGGCATCCCGCTGCCCGAGACAAAGTTAAACTGGCTGGCTAAGTGGACGCCCCCTCAGAAGACGGTGCCCCCTCAGAAGACGGCGCCCCAGGCGGCCGGCTGCCGCTTCCCGGGCTGACCGGCACTGTGAAGCTGTAACGCTTTTCCAGCTAACTGTGGAGCTGCAGTACGATTTTCCTCACAGACGGCAAACTGCAGCCTGTCAAAAGCCAAGCGATTACTGTTCAGGCCCAAAGGCACCGCGAGCTCACGCTTGTAACCTGGAGGGCAGGTTTCCATACTGATTTTAACACTTATAACATTGTAAGGCACTTGGGACACATATTAATAGCTATAATAATAATAGACACGTGCTGTATAATAATATTATTTGAATGGGTATTAATATTATTATGATGGTTGACATTATTATTATTATTATTATTATTATTATTATTTAGTACGTAGTCATAGCAAATGTATGGAAGGA